AGAGGTTTTATCAGTTTAAAAGGAGAACCTCATCAAACAAATTTCAGCAAAACATAAATACAAACTATTAAGGTATGTACCTGTAAGTTATAAAGGTGTGAGGACAAATACAAGTTAATCAAATTTCTCTCTCATGCTGCCTTCCATAGTCTTAAAATATTTTTCACTGTGCAAAAACATCGGTCATGGTCATTCTGACATAAATATACTACAGTTTATATAATGCATATATCTAAAACTCGTGTTTTCAGAAACCCCAAAATTTCTTATGAGTTATAGGGAGCCGAATTGAAGGATACACCTTAAAAAGATCAGATACACCCCTCTCAAGTCCCTGGTCCTAAAAATTTTTTTCCTAAACTTAACTTTGTCCTCTGTTCTGCCAATACCTTAAACAGGTGTAAGAGACACCAGATATTTCCATGCCACAAACATCAGGCAGGAGCAGAGAGACCAGCTATGCCAGGATGTGACCAGTGCCCAGCTTTCTCAGGTTCCCTCCCCAATATGACACTCTCAAATAAGAAAGAAGCAGTCTTGAGAATCCACCGTCCCAATTCCTTTAACCTGATGTGCCTAACCTCCTATCTTTTTAATTATAAAAAAGAAAAGAATGTAATGGTCTGTCCTGTCCCTTTAAGAGACAAGGTCTGCCCACCCCACCACCACCACCCCCCCCACACTGAGGCAGCAGATCTTTCTTCTGCTTCCATCCGGAGTTCTTTCCTTTCCATCTTTCTCCAGAAGAGGTAGCTTCTGCCTCTCTCTCTTTTCCCCATTTCTCCCCTTCACCCCCTCTCTATGTTTTTTTTTTCTTTCTCTCTCTCTGCTTCTCTCTCTCTGCTCTTCTTCCTTCTCCTTCCCTTTCCCCTGCATAACCTAATAAATAAATACCCACTATCTCTGCATGCCATGCCTAATATGTCTCTGTCTCTCACCAGCCACGGCTGTGGCTCCCCACGGGGCTGGCTGTCCGCCAATCTCTCACCCACCATGTGCTCCCTGCCTGAAATCAGCTGCCATCATGGCCTGCTGTTGTCTCATAGCCTCCTGCCCACTGCTGCCACATGGGAATGGCACCATTTTATTTTTACCATGACATTAACACCCTCAACTGGCCTCTGAATTTTCATTATTTGACTAAATGAGCAAACTTACTTTCCCATTTGCCATTGTAAAAAAACCAAAAAAAAACAAAAAAAAATTTCTCAGTACTTTAATTAATCTGTTGTGAGTAAAGTTTAACGAGTGAGTTGGAATTTTTCCACCTTTTGTTCCCTAATGTAATCATTTCAACATAAATTTCCAGAAGCCTTCTAAGTCAGCTACATGCCAGATTCCTGATAGACTGAAGCTATTTTTAAGTAGCTGTAGCAAGTTTATTTCCTCTTACATAAGATTAGCAGAGCAATGAAGCTTAGAGTACAGAAAATGTAGTATTTGCATATGAAAACTTTCTTTGAAAATCAAGGCATCTTAATATTAGCCATTGTCAGAGCATAAAAATTATAATTATAAAAATAATCTCTTAGAAAGTTTCAAAATAAAAATGTAGTCCTGAATTAATAATTACTAAAAAGGAATAATTGCTTTCTAAACCAGACAGGACTGATGTTGACTATGTCCGTTTTATTTAAAAGTATGTGTACCATGCTTTAACAGAGCTCATAAGTTCTCTTTCTGAAGACGTTACCTTTATCTTTAATTAAGTGTATATGCTAGTGTCTGTGGTTAGATATGTGCATGTGAATATAATTGTCTATGGAGCTTGAAGACAATTGTCTATGAATCCTGTTTTGAACCCAGTACTGGGGATCAAAGTTGGGTCCTCTACAAGAGCAGTATATGCTGTTCTTAACCCCTGGTCCACATTTCTAGCCTTAGAGTTCATAAGTTCTTAAGAGCTAATTTTTGAAAATGTACTTAATATGCTTTATTGTCACCATTATAAGTTCAATTAACATAAATTCAAAGATGATTACAGTGATTACGATGTGCTTGCTCACCATTCATTTCCTAAGAACTGTGATATATTCAGTATTATATTTGTTATTGACAACATAAAGGTCACAATGAAGGAGAAATCTGTGGCCACATAAATTAATATTTATATACATTTAGCAAGGCCTGACCAGACTGGTAATTTATCATTTATTGATCTTCAATACAGTAAATTAATTTTTAAAAATTACTTTAGAGAAATGTTTTTAGTTTCACTTTTAGATGGAGGTAAAAAGTTAATCTCAAAAAGATGAGACTGGAACAGCAGTGTTACCAGAGCCTAGAAATAGCATGTGGGGGAAGGCTTAAAGCAAGGATGATTAAGACTTATAGGAATGCAGTTGGATAGGAGAAATGACTTCTAATGTTCTATAGCACAGTAGGATAAGTATAGTTTACAAGATTTCATTATACATTTTAAAATAACTTTGAGAAAGGGTTTTAAATGTTCCATATATAAAGAAATAATAAGTGTTTAAGATGACAGATGCATCAATTACATTGAGTACCTGTATTGAAATGTCATTCTTTAGCCTATCTATAAATACATTTATGATGTGCCAACTAAAATGAAAACAGTTTTGAAAAGAAAAGCTGAGTTACTTAGAAAGATCATTTTAAGGATGTATTGCCATTCTTATATGTATGAGCAGTTTGTATATTTTTACCTCCAGTATTGAAGAGAATTCCTATCATTATGCAAAATATACTTATTTACCAATGCCATCTAGAATAAGCCAACCGCACAATAATAAAGGGTGTTATAACTACCAAATTAACTTAAATCGCATATCATAATTTAAAGGTACTTAATATACACATGAAAGTTGTTTTCTGCTACCTTCCTTGATCATTTATAGCATGGAACAGATGTATCAAAGTAGAGTTTTTATTTAAAAATGTGCAGGAAAATTTGAATTTATCACTTCCAACAGAGTAGAACTTAGACTGAACTATTTAAGAGCTTTCATTTAATTGAACTCTGACAAACTTAGAAAATACATTCCCGGAATAAGGCAATTCAAATTCCAATTATTAGATTTGAAATATTCTCTTGGAACATCCACCCTTACTAGAGGAAAAAAAAAATCTTTAACAATAGATGTATTAAAAACTCAATATGATGGCCTACAAACTAATTTCACAGTATTTTAATGAGTTGGAGCTAAAGAAAGATGAGTGCCAACTTAAGAAATAAGTTTCACTTCTCTGTTGAGGAATACCATTTTCTCCAGTGAGTTCAAAGGGCTCAATCTAAATTTTATGATCTATGTACCAGAGAACTTGGATTAATGCCCAGGAGCAGGGGTCACTGCTGGCGCTTGAATTTATGAGGACTGTGTTTGTAGTTCTATGGAGAAACATTTTAACAGAAAAGAATATGAAAGGAAAGAAGATTCTGTTTTTGTGATAATGTTTTTTTGTAAATTTACTATTTCCACTAGAAAATATATAATAACTTAAATTGGGGCCTTATTACTTTATAAAGGCGAATCATACCTACCAAATGAATTGACTAATTTAAGAGTGGTGAACGACCTAAATTTAAAACTCTGCAACCTTTTTTGTGTGATTTCTGCTGAAGTTGCTTTTCTGCTGATTTAATCAGCTGTATTTGCAACCATTGTACTTGCTGATACTACTCTTGCTATCCAAGCTTGCTCCTTCTACCCCTCAGAATCCACTATTTTCTGTATTTTGACATGTTGTTGTCTGCCTAGCCTGTCTTTATTGAAAGTGTTGTTCTTGCTCAAATCTTTTTCATCTTCTGAATTTTAATTTAAGACCTTGCCCCTAAGGCAGTATCCTTGATTATTCCAATCCTCAAAGTCCATTTCTTAAATCATCTAGCACTAAATAAGCAATATGCAAATTACTCTTTATTTCCATAGAAACTTGCTGGGAGATCATGAGTATATGTGTAAACAATGATCATTTATTGAATATGCCATAGACTGAACTACCTGGCCAACTTCGAAGCACTCAAGAATAACCTTTAAAATGTGGCTCCTGAAGCCTGTAAGATGGCCCAGCAAGTAGAGGAATTTGCCACCAAGTTTTATGGTCTGAATTCAATTGTTCTTACTCAGTGAACGGGGAGAACAAACCCTCTTAACTTGCCTTCTCACCTCTGCAGTACATGCAAGCTCACACACATACATGAGTACACACACAGAGGTTTTTTTGTTTTTTTGTTTGTTTGTTTGTTTGTTTGACTGCTAGACAAGTGTACCACTGAATTATATATCTCAGCCATTAGGCTACATTTCAGACTGTCACAACTGGGTGATGCTCCTGATAGCAGAGATCAGCAGTGCCGCTCAATATCTTACCAAACCTAGAATAGGCCATATATACAACAAAGCAATGACAGTAGTGCTATGGTGGAGAAAAAACAACCTAAATGAAAAATGTTCAACAAAAAACACTACATGCTGAACGATTGATTTACATCATATTAGTGAGAAGGCAAAACCAAATGTCAGTAGCCTGGGTCTATAGATGGGAAAACACCAACCAAGTTAAGGGGACATGAGGAAACATTTTAGACTGATACAACCATTGCCTGCCTTTACATTTATGGAGAGTAGTGCTATCTATAAAATTGCACAAACCACCAAAATTTATAAAATCTTGCAGTTAAAACCAATTTTTAATTTTTATCACATTAATTGCAATCTACAAAATTGTCAGACAAGAATAACAAAGTGCTGGAAGAGAAGGGAAAGGTGACTTTCCCGAAATATTGACCTTAAATTGGATTGACATTTTCATGTCAGTAACCCACAGTTTGGTAGAACATAACAGCATGGAGCTACAGCACATTAGAAAGCGAGGATTGAATCAATTGCTTTGTTAGTGATGGTGAACAATCAAAATGCTATACTTTTTTTAGGTCTTTCAACTTTTTAAAGATAGTTCTCATTAACAGAAGATCTAACTCAAGATTATTCTACTGAGTATTCACGACAGATCATTCCTTATAGCCAGCAGAGTAATCCACACAGCAGCAGCTTTGTGAATTTTTTATAATTTTTGTTACAGAGTTTTCATGACGAATGAAGGCAAATTTTTCCTGAGATCTGAGATGAATTCATTCATTTGGATTGATGGGAACACTTATGATATCAAAACAGAAACTCACAGACATGAGCAAAGGCTCCTCTATCTTTAATGCCTTGTTTCTTTAAAGAAGAAGTTGATCAACCTTAACCAAACGATGCAGAACTTCTTCCTTCTAGAGTTAGATGAGATTTCTTCCTCTTTCACTTGGAGTCTTGTTGAGACAGTTATGTAGGAAATCACCCCTTACACTGCTATTCTGAAAAGTTATGTTTCCCATCTGTCTCGTTAAACCTTTGGACAAAAACCATCTTGGAAGTAATAAAAAGCATTGCATTCAGCTGTGTGTAGAGTGTCTTGTGAAAGCAGAGAACTGGAAAGCCAGGTTGCCCTCTTGAGTCCCTGGGGGTAGCAGAGGTCGGTATGAATCCTGGTAACACTAGTAGAGCTATAAAAAAAAAAAAACAGGGAAAAGAACATGGAGCTGCAGAAAACTCATTTCTAGGATTTCAACCTCTGAAAGGGAACATTTTTAATGCTGACTTTAAAATGTATTAGATTTACTACCTTCACAAAAGTGAACGTGTTTCACTGTTAACAGTGTATCATGTGTGTTCCTTGAACAACGTCCCAGGTCTCATCTCATACTGGTACAACTCTAAGGGATTGAACTAGAGACTTTCAAATAATGACTTGCGATGACCCAACAACTATAGTGTGCAGTCAGGTACCCAAGATGGCGAGCCTAATAATATATAGCTAATGTTTGGAAAACAAATCACTGCATATTTCAAATTTCCAAGTTATACAAGTCTTGCTAAGAGGAAGGTATAAAGATTGACTACATCATCCTGTATAGTAATATTACTGTGCAATAAATGTTAAATATGGTTAATTCCCCTGTTTGGGGGCCTCATCCCATACCAGATATTTGCGACAAGCTGCAACATTATACAGTAATTGCTCGGCCATCTTTTCACAAGTGACTTATCAAAACTAAGGGATCTGGTAAAGGCTAAACCAAAAGGCAAGGTATTTTGGTGTTATTGCTTTGAGAATAAAGTGTCCTTCGTTGTAGAATTTTCACTTTAGCTAACTCCCTTTCTGTTACATGTTTGGAAATTAATTCCAAACATGTAACAGTTTGGAAACAGTTCAGAACTGTTTAATGAAAACAGCTTCCCACTGGCCAGTGTTCCTCTCTCCTAGGTAAGCGCAGAGATTTGCCTTCCTGCGATTATCTTTATCAGCAGTCATTTGGTCAATGCTCAGGGTTCAGGCAGAGAGCACCCCATCTAAGATATTCATAGATCTCCAAGGGCATAGAATTACTACTGCCCAAAGCTGCTGTTCTGGTTTTACACGACTTAAAGATTCTTGGGATCCTATTCCCTATAGATGTAAACCTTGATTAACCTATATGTAGTGGGGAGATCCTGGGGACTTTACACAGGGATGGGTGCATGGCCCTCTCTTAAGATTGGAGGGGTGGGGTGGGAGAGTCTGTGAAGAGAGAGGGAGGGGAGTGGGAACTCAGAAAACAAGTTTAACCACTGAGTAAAACTCTAATGTGTATATATTCCACACCTTTTTTAACCATTCTTCTATTGAGGGGCACCTAGGTTGTTTCCAGGTTCTGGCTATTACAAATAGTGCAGCTATGAACATAGTTGAACAAATGCTTTTGTAGTATGATAGGGCATCTCTTGGGTATATTCCCAAAAGCGGAATTGCTGGATCCTGAGGGAGGTTGACTCCCAATTCTTGAATTTTGCATGCAAATGGATGGAAATAGAAAACGCTTTACTGAGTGAGGTAACCCAGACCCAAAAAGAGGAATATGGTATGTACTCACTCATAAGTGGATTCTAGCCATAGTTAAAGGTCTTTGAGCCTATAATTCGCGATCCTAGAAAAGCTAAATAAGAAGGTGAACCTGAAGAAAATCTTATGGTTATCCTCCTGGATATTGGAAATAGAGAAGATTGCCAGGCAAACTTGGGTGCACGGGGGATGGGGGGTGGAAGTAAGGAGAGATGGTTAGAGAGAAGGGAGAGGGGGAGGATTGGGGATGACTTGGAGGAATGGGATGGGGGGAGGGAGGAAGGATGGATGTGGGAGCAGAAAGTATATATCTCAACTAAGGGAGCCATTTTAGGGTTTGCAAGAGACTTGATTCTAGAGGGGTTCCCAGACCCAAGGAGAGGTCCCCAGATTGTTCCCTGGGCAGCAGAGGAGAGGGTGCCTGAACTGGCCTTGTCCCATAACCATACTGATGAATATTTTGCATATCACCATAGAACCTTCATCTGGCGATAGATGGAGATAGAGACAGAGACAAATATTAGAACACTGGACTTAACTCGCTAGGTCCAAATGAGAAGCAGAAGGAGGGAGAACGTGAGCAATAAAGGCAGGACCAGAGGGAACCTTCATCTGACAATAGATGGAGATAGAGACGGAGACCCACATTGGAGCACTGGACTGAGCCCCCAAGGTCCAAATGAGGAGCAGAAGGAGGGAGACCATGAAAAAGGAAATCAGAACCGCAAGGGGTGCGTTCACCCACTGATACAAGGGGACTGATTGAATGAGAGCTCACCAAGGCCAGCTGGACTGGGACTGAATGAGCATGTGATCAAACCGGAGTCTCTGAATGTGGCTGACATGGGGGCTGACTGAGAAGCCATTGACAATGGCACTGGGTCTTGTTTTGTCTGCATATACTGGCTTTTTGGGATCCTAGTCTGGTTGGATGCTCACCTTCCTAGACTAGGAGGGAGAGGGGAGGAACTTGAACTTCCCACAGGGCAGGAAACCCTGACTGCTATTAGGACTGGAGAGGGAGGAGGAGAGGAACTGGGGGGGAGGAGGAGAAGGAGTGGGGGGAATGGGAAGGTGTGGGGAGGAGGGGAGGAAGTGGAAATTTTTATAAACAAATAAATAAATAAATTTGAAAAAAGAAAACAAGTTTAAATAAATAAATAAGATTCTTAACTCTAAGAGAGGGCAAGGGTTGGAGGGGTGGGGTGGGAGTGTATGTAGATGGAGTGGGAGGAGAGGAGGGGATTGATATATTTTTAAAGTAATAAAATAAAATAAAAGGAAAGGACAAAATTCTTAACTCTTTATACTCACTTTCATCTCAGTTTACTGATAATTTTAGTTCGGGACTCTCAAGGACAGCAAAAGGGATAATTAACTAAAACCCAGAGAAAGACGCACAACACCCACAATCAGAACGGCTGATAACATCATAGCCTGTAACTGATCATTTAGAGAGGCCTGGGTCACACTTCTTTGCATAGAGCAGTGAGTCTAACTCCAAACCCAGGTCCATAGAAACTGCAGTGTCTGATGTATGTGCTATCTGATCAAGAGCCATCAGCTTCCTCTTGATTACACAGCCTCTATGCATACTGGGATAAAAGAAGTGGCATGCTGATTTAAACAATCCATGCTCTAGTCATAATTTTACTGAAAATAAACCGTTTAGCCTGTTACTAACCTCCTTAAAATGTAGTACAGCACACTAACCTTCACCTCTAGTATTCTCTGATGATTTCATGCCTTTCTTAACTAACTTACTCCATTAAGGAGTTCACCGGAGGTATAATAGCCATTCTCCTCTCTCTCTCTCTCTCTCTCTCTCTCTCTCTCTCTCTCTCTCTGTGTGTGTGTGTGTGTGTGTGTGTGTGTGTAAACCCTTATCTGATTTTCTATAGGGCAAAAAAATTCTAACCCTAGAACATGCTAGGGCTGTGGAATTGTTGGTTTTAGGAGTATATATGGCTGGGAACATTTGTAACTGGTAGAGTGATGTAGAAGAAAGAACAAAAGAGGATAATGAAGAAGTGATAGAAATGAGAAAGAAGAGAAGGAAGAAGAATGAAGAAATATGGATGGCTGATTCCTGTTGTGTGTAGATTTCTTACCCCTCAGATCTTTAGTCCCCCTTTAGCTATTTATGGCATCATTAATTAAACCATGTATGGGATTTTTTTCTTTTGTTTTTTCATTTATTTTTTTATTTTTATTTTTTTAAAAAAGAAAACAAACTTTTTTCATTATACATACCAATCCAAGTTCCCAATCCCTCCCCTCCTTACACTACCTCCACTTACCTTTTCACCCCACCCACCATCCACTCCACAGAGACCATGATGCGTACACCCCGCTTAGATAGTCTACCTCAGCTAATGGGAACTCACCAACTCTAACTGGACTGGGAAGAAATAAACATAGGTCCATATTAGTCCCTGTGTGGGAATCTTAAAGGCGAAAACTTTTAAGGTTTCCAAAAGATATTGACATTCTTTTGAGCAAAAAAATATATCAGACAATACTGAGTTACTCAGATTAACCTTCAACTTACTTGCCCAAGTAGATCTTGAATGTGTGTTCCTCCTGTCTCAGCATTTCAAAGAGCAGGGATTGTAGGCTCAGGACAGCACATCTGAACTCCATTCTACTTGAACTGTTATTTTGACATGTTGAATTCCTCCAATCACAGCAACTTTGTAACAAACAAAGCAAACACAGCCTTGGAGCAATGTCCTTTCCTCTGATTTTATATACCTCCCATGGAAATGGAAGGAAAGGTTTTAGAGAATCAGACATTCTTAAACTAACAAATTTTGTTTTTCATTCATATCCTTTGTCCTTTGAGCAAACATTGGTATTAGGAATATCAAGAAACTTAGACCCCCATTTCTATTTGATATATCACTAATCCCTCTATCCAAGTTCCCTCCCTCTTTCCCTCTACCCTTCCCTTTCTTTCTTCCTCCTTTTCTCTTCCTTCTTTACCCTTCTCTTATTATTATCTTCATCATTTCCTGTATCTTCTTCCCATTTGGACATTTCTCTCAATCAGGAAATACCCACAACGTGTATGGAATAGAGTTTGTCTGACTGAATGCTTATTACAAGGTGTTAGACCAGGCAGCCCAGTGCATTGTAACCCTGTTCAAGAACCAACTCATCCCTTCCTTGTCAGAAAGACTCCAAGGCAATTTTTAGTTATTTTCATTTATCTTCGCAGTCTCAAATCTGCCCCCCGAAAAGTATCAGCCTCCTCAAGATATTTCTGTGAGAACAGGCACATAGTTAAGGGTACAAAAACAAAATCTACTACCAGATAGATGTGAATGCAGCAGCATGGGAGCCCTCAGCTCGACCTCATCAATCTGCAGATAGAGTGGGCACCTTCTCTCCCTGAATAATCCTATCATTTCTCTTCAACCAAAATAAGGCTGTTGTATAAAACATAATATTTTTTTGTGGGAAATTGATTTCTGTACTTGCAAGAGGGAAACCGGCAGACAGTGAATTGGTGGTTCTCAACCTGTGGGTTGCAACGCCTTTTGGGTCGGAATGATCCTTTCACAGTGATCACCTAAGACCCCTCCAAAACACAGACTTTTATGTTAGCAATTCATAACAGCAGCAAAATTACAGTTATGAAGTAGCAACAAAAATAATTTTATGATTGGGGGTCACCATGACATGAGCAACAGCCTTAGAAAGGTTAAAAGCCACTTCAGTAAAGGCTGAATCAACTACTCAGAAAGAGTGCTGTAAAAGCACTTGTTCAAAAACAAGAACAAATAATGGATTGAAACAAATTATGCTACAGCAATGAAATCACTAGCCATTGGTTTCTCTCTGTGCCTCTCAGACTGGATTAGGGAGATTTGACAATGACATATCTAAAATAATTTAACACAATTCACACACAATTAAGAGTCTGAGATTTTTTTTCATGTGTTTCATTTTAAATAACTTGCAAGTCTCTCTTGCAATGGTCTGTGCCCCTTCATTTTGTCACCTAATTTTCTATTTAATATTGCTGTTATGTGATTTATTTATTTTGGATGGTGCTAATATGTGTATGGTATATAGGTAAGGCTTTGTGCGTGTGGAATCTGTAAATCCCTGGTGAGGGTGTTCAATAAATAATTATTAAGCTAACCTGAATTGAATTGAATTGAATTGAATTGAAGGAAAACAATAAAGTAAGTAATCCCCAGTTCATCATTATTTGGCATTTTGATGTATGTTTGTATTTTTATTTTAATAGAGATCTGTCTGGGACATTAGGGCTTTTTATAATTTCACATAATGAAGTCATACTGTGAAAAGGCATTAAAAAAACTTAGGAAGCAACTCAGTATATACTTGTGGTGAGGCCTGAAGAAAGGCATGAAACCCAGACTTAGGAGCTTCTAACAAATACAAGCTGAATAACTCATCAGGGACAAGGAAAATCAATCACAAATCTGTTGTAAAAGACCTTTTCTAAGCATTGAGCAAGGGCATGTGAGTATGAGGGGACTAGAGTTTTGGAGGGCAGTGCACACAGTCTCAAATTCTCCCCCCCCCACCATGTGCTTTCCTGGAGGATCATGTGCAATTAGGATAAGAAGGGAGTTCAAATAAATTAGGACAATGTAGGCAGAAGAAATGAAAACAAAAAAGAAACAAGAAACCTGTATGGTTTTATGGCCCTTACCAATCACTGAGGCAAGAATTGAAAGATTTGCTTCTGATAAGCTTAAATGCACAGAGTTAACTCTTTCAGTGATCCCCCATCATCTGGCTCATGCCACACACAGACAGGCAAATCCTTCCTAAAAACCCATGCAAGACTAATCTTCTTAAGAAATTGCTTTCAGCAAGTTCACTCTCCTACAAGGCCATGCCTGTGGGATCAACTGAAATTCCAGGTCTTCTGTCAATTGTCTCCACCCAACCTATTCATCCTGTCCTCCCACTAATCCCCAGCATGACCACTGACCACAGTTCTGTCACACTCATCTCCCTGGAGCCGAGCCGCATGCCACATTCCTGCCTCCATCCCTTCACACAGGCCTCTTCTTTGCATCGAAAATGTTTTCTTTTCTCCCTCTCAACGGATCAAACCTGCCCCAAATCTTTTTCTTTCAAGTATAATCTTAAGATACATCTTCTCGACTTAAAAGTAGAAAACAACAGGTAGCTAGAGACTGGGAAGGGAGGAAGGGATGGGAGTATGGGTAGGGACAGAGACAGACATAAGAGGAAGCTGGACAGGATCAAAGCATTTGTATTCACACGGAAGGGAAGTTCAGGGAAACCCGTTACCTTTCCCAATTAATGCTTGTTAATAAAAGCAAATCAAAATAATAGAAATCACTCTTTTCCTTAAAATTAGATACCCAGCCTACACTTTTATCTTCAGAATCTATTCCATTTCTTGAAATACCTACATCTTGAATTTGTATGTTCATGCCAAGTGATTTCTGCCAGCACCTTGATTGTCTTCAAGTATGGGAGTTGCTTCCATAATTCTAGTCTAAGCCAAGGACAGAGATTCATTTTCTTCGTATTAGTTTCGCCAAAGACGGTGTTTATGGCTCAATCATCTCCTTAAAGATATTTCCTGTAGTAATAAGAAACATGAGTGATTATGTGAATATTAATAATCTATGAATAGAACCCTGTTAAGACTTAAAGACAATCTAAAACTAATGACACAGAAATGAAAGTGGGTTTATACATTCCCTTGTCTTCATAGTTAGATTTCCATTTCTAAAAAGCCAAATCACTTACTTGTTTCAGTTTTCTACATCAAATTCATTGTTGTTCTACTTAAAAATAAAAGAAACTGTTCATCATGTTTAGTTTTAAAATCCGTTTCTAGTTTGGTGCTGAGGATATATACAAACAATAAACTCAAATGTTCCAACTGAGGTATTGCAATTTAGTGTTTACTAAATACTATATCTGTAGCTCATTTACTTAGACTGAGCAAGGGGAAGCTATAGCCCACCAGGAGACCTGTAGAAAAAAAAAATCTGTTCCTTTTTTTAACTTTCTTTTTAATTTATTCTTGGTGTCTTTCACCTCATGCATCTCCATCCCATTTATTTCCCTGGCTTTTTGTATCTGCCCTTGCAACTGCCCCAAATAAAACAAAATAAAATTTAAGAGAAAAAAAGAAGAAAAAATAATAGAAAAATCAATCTCAACATGGAAGTTGTAGTATGATACAGTGAGTCACATAGTAAACCCCTTTGTTACTTATCTTTACTTGAAAGTGTTCATTACGAGTTTGTTTTGAGGCCTCTGGTTTCTGCTATACTGTTGATGCTGGCCCTCACTGGGACTCCTCTTGGATATCCTGTTGTTGCCCTGTGTTGGGGAGATCCTGCAGCTTTGGGTATGCAGGACTGGTTCCTTCACCTGCTCTAGCAGATCACAGATGAGGTGAATTTTGAGATGGACCAATTCCTAACCCTGGTTTTAGGCCTGGGTAATTACAAGGTTGGTCAGCCTGCCAGCTCTCTCTTGTTCTCACCCCCAGGCTCCGTGGTCCTACAATGCCCTCCCTAGTTCACACTCTTGCAGCAATGACCAAGGGGCAGGATCAGTTCTCTCGCTTTCATATCCTCAGGGTTACTTCTCCCACACCTATACCTTCAGGGCCAGCTCTGCTGTGTTGCCCAGATGCGTGGGTCAGAGGCCACCCTCCCCAGTGCTGCAGCTGACCATGGGAATGACAACTTACTTGCTCTTAGGACCTCAGGGATAGATCTCCCACCAGCTTCAGGCAACGATGGGCGGGATGGGGTGGGGCGGGATGGTGTGGGGTGGGGAGGGGTGGGGAAAGGCATCTCTCCCTGAACCCATGCAGTCATGTGACAGATGAGTAATGAGAACAGCTCACTGAAGCTGGAAACTTCAGGGCTGGCTTACTGACAACCCTGCCAACAGGATTGGCTCGATTTTGCTGCCCAGACAAGGTGCAAGGCATGCTCTCTTGAGTGTTGCAACTTATGGGAGACAGAGCAGCTCTCCTGCTCTTGTGTCCTCAGGGCCAACTCTCTTGACCCAACCACTCACCAGCTTCAGCACTCAAGAAGACGGACTCTCCACCTCATTAAGTAGAGCTGACGCTGTAGACAGGGGTGTAGGTGTGGCAGACTTGAGAGTGTGAGAGGGCCATAGGTGGTACCGCCTCGTCTAGAGTGTGGTGGCCTCCCCACACAGGAACACCTGAAGACAGAGGGAGAGCTGGTGCTGAGGTCATAGGGGAGGGAGAGCAGGCTCTGAGGTCATAGAGGAAGGAGAGCTGACCCTGCCCCTCACTAGCTGCAATATTGTTTCAGGAGACTAGGCTCTGCACCTCACCTGGGGAGCATAACAATTCTGATTTTAAGAACTGAGTTTGGATATAAGTTCTCTATGGCATCTGCAGGATGCTCTTTGGGTTGTTTTTTTTTTTTAGCTGTTTTATATTATTTAAAACTTCCTTTATGGAGGACTGTAAGAATGGTTTAGCAGTGAAGTAGCTCTGGCTACTTCTTCAGAGGACCTGCCTCTGTTTCCCAGGCGCCGACGTGTCAGCTCATAATCTGCTGGAACTCCAGTTCCAGGGGATCCGATGATCTCCACTATCTTCTTCAAGCACCAGGCACACATGTGCGACACTGACATTAATGCAGTCAAAAGGCCAATACACGTACAACAAAATAAAAAAATGCCAAAAGCAATTTCTTGTTCCTTTCAGACAGAGTACTGTAAGGAAAAATAAATTAGCATGGCAGACAGAGATAACAGTGGTGTGATTTTCTCTCAAAGAATAGGATAAGTATCTAGAAACTCCTTAGAGGAAACCCAACATTCCTACCAATGTCAAAACTTGTACTGACCAATTTCTCTCTAGCATCATACTGCAAAATTAAAATGACCCTAGGAGCAGTAACAATAGAATAATGTGGTTTGGATTGATATATTAAATTTTCCTTTTAACTGATGAATAGTTTTCCACTGTAGGAATCTAATTTATAATCCACTGCTCAGAAAAATCTCTGATTTTCTCTGTTCGCCTCACTTTCCAAATCTCAGGGAACTCACATTATTTGCAATTATTCAAATCACATATTTTTAAAAATTCATATATCTGTACCTCTTGCTCATGCTATTTTCTAAGGATACTACAGTTAATAAATCTCATGCTGAATTTTAGAAAGATTTTACAAGAGAGGTCATTGAGTGTTCTCACCACACATGAATGGTAAGTACCCAAATATGAACTGACATACTATGTGCATGTATCAGAACATCATATTATAATCCACAAGCATGCACAATCTTTACATACCAGCTATAAATAGGATAAAGTAACCTTCCTTTGGGAGCTAAAACAAAAAGGGGATAGTTCTATGTACTGGTAAAAAATGAAGAAAGGATATTAGTTTGGAATGTGTCGCCCTAGGAACCAGTAATGCTAACAGATCAAGGAAATGATAGCTGAAAATTGATCACTGGAGTTAAAAACATAAGCATCATGCACTACTTTTTGATAACATTCTTCAGGATAGGAACGAATTTTACAAGCAGGTGCCATCTTTTGAGAAAATGAAATGGCAGCACACTGAAGTGGTAGGTTTAAAAAAAAACGTAAGAGAATTTCTTCCTGACGATAGTTTGTGGAACATTAAACATTAACAGTGCAAAGTTGTGCCAAACACCTTCTCTAGAGTTCTATAAAACATGATGGGTAATGATTTAGAGCCACTAGGGGAGGACTTATTCAAAAGCAATCCTGCAGGGAAGTACAGGCTAGATTGTATACAGAACATTTCCAGTTTTCGGGAAACTACTGTTCTTTGTACAAACCAACGGTTTTCAAGGGGCTGCCAATTAACACTGTGGTTCATTTGTACAGTTCTCTTTGTGCAAGGAAATGTTCATGAGGAGCCCTTGACTTTAGAAAGAAAACCTCTTCATGTTAGAAAGAAAATGGGGAGTTTTAGGAAATGGAATGTTGGGCAGTAGTGTGCAGAGAAAGAGAACTAACAAAAATACTAGATTCTGTTTCTACTTATTGATCCTAAGGGGACACTGCTAAGTGTAGAGTGAGTTCTTTTGAATCCTACCTGCATTCGGACTTTCTTGCTCAGGGCTTATTATGTAAAGTGGACAAACTTTCTTAATAAAAATATTAAAATCTGTCATATTTATTAAATACTAGTCAAATATATTGTATTAGGTTACTATAGAACACTGGGTTCGAGATACAAAACTGTGTTCATCAGTTGGGTGGTGGTGGTGCACACCTTTAATATCAGCACTTGGGACACAGAGGCAGGAGGATCTCTGTGAGTCTGAGAACAGTCCAATCTACAAAACGAGTTCCAGTACAGTTAGAACTGTAACATAGAGAAACCACTTCTCGAAAACTAATCAAACAAACAAAAATTCTGAATTCCTCTGTTCATATACATCAAGGATGAAAGAAAATTAAGATCATGACGCCATGTATTGTGTTTGCAGCTTAAGTATCTTCCTAGGAAACTAAAAGTACCAAAAGACTTACTCAAATTAATTTGTTTAAATAAAGCACCTTATTTTTGATATTTTTTTAGAGACAGGATTTTTTGTAGTAACAGTTCTGGCTGTCCTGGAAATCGCTTTGTAGATGTGGATGGCCTCAAACTCACTGAGATATTCCTGCCTCTGCCTCCCAAGTGCTGGGATTAAAGACATGTGCCACCACCACCCAGCTAAAGTACCATAATTTTAAAATGTTAATTGTGATCTGGAGAAATAGATCAATGGTTAAGATCACTGAATGCTCTTTAAGCATCTGAGTTATATTCCTCAGTCATCATTTATAACTCCAGTTCCAGGGAATTTTATACCTCTGTGGGCACCATGTATGAACACGCTACAAGCATACATGCAAGTAAAGCACCTATACACATAAAATAAATAGTAATGTTTTTTAAAAAGTTAATGGTATTTTTACTGGCATATACTGGTTAATGATATTTTTACATTCTCCTGAATAACATATTTTGTATGCAGACTGTAGTTTCCATCTAGCATGCATTTTATTCAATGAATGCACATGCTCTCAGAGTCCTCTGCCTTTGTAAACAAAAGAAAACCTTTTTGAAGAATCTTCCTTAACTGGAGACATTGAAGCTTTCTTTTGTCTCCTGCTTCAGGCTGGACGAGTCTATACAAAAAAATATAATGACTAAAAAAGGAATATGTAAGAACAAATAGTGAAGACTGATTTGGTGGCACCTGCCTTTCAATTCCAACACTTGGGAGACAGAGGCAGGAAGATCTCTGTAAATTTGAGGCCAGTCTGGTCTACAGAACTAGTGCCAGAATGAGTTCCAAACCTACACAGAGACAACCTGTCATGAAAAACCAAAAATAAAAGTAAATAACAGGTATTAAACCTTGCAAAGACATGAATAAAATTGAAATGTACAATCCTAATTGAAAAGAGACAATCTGCAAGGACTACATATTGTATATTCCAAACTCTTTGGCATTTTACAAAGGGTAAAACCATCAGTGGATACTGGATGCTCAAAGTGGGAGAGAAATAAGAAAAATTAGGGCAGTTTTATGGGATTGATAGTGAAACTGATTATTCTAAATTACGGTTTTACGGTAGATATAAGCTCATCACAGAATTTTAAAACTAAGAGACTTTGCAACATACGCAGGCTAGGCATGGTGGTACGTGGTTAAAAAAAAACAAAACCTAATGCTTGGAAGTACAGGCAGAAGTATTGGAAGGCTGAAGCAACAGGATTGTTAAGAGTTTGAAGCAAAGCTGGATTGTAGGTTGACCTGCCATAGGTTGAAGTAGCTTCTTTATTACCTAATGGTAATAAGACAGATTCACAGGATATAGAGGGGAATCCCATATCACTAGACTCCATAGAAGGTAGCAGGCCAACCTATTTTAAATAGGAGCAAAAACAAGATGAGAAAAATACCTGAAGTGTATGTGTATAATTCCAGTCCACTGGAGGCAGAAGCAGTATGATGGCTGAGAATTTGATGTGAATTTGGCCTTCATAGCAATTTCTAGGACAGACCAGACTAATAAGCATTAATGGATCATACTATCTTAAGTTTCACACATATAACATGCTAATACAAGTTAATGAAATAATCACTACTAATCATTAATCATTACTATGGAAGGCTGTTAGGGAGAGGTGAGGGAATACTATGTTCTCCAGTTATTTTCTTAGTGAAAGTAAAATTATAAAAACTGTGATTAACTTAGAAATTCTAAAATCTTCTGAAGCTTATTCAATAAGAAATAGAAAGTCTGAATAGATTCATAGTAAATAAAGAGAGGAAATTGTTAGAAAATTAAGAAAACTCCAGGTTTGTAAACTTCATTTATGATGTAGACAAGGTATTATCAGCACTTAGTCCTCACAATCTCTCCCAAAGCAATAGAAAAAGTATTTCCCACCTTAAGTTGTGCGGCCTTCACGTCTAAAGTAGCCAACAAGATTGACTGGCATCACTTATTTTGACATCGTCAAAAAACAACACAAACTCACTCTAGTGGTGAAAATGGGAGAGCTGGCAGGCTGACCAACCCTGCAACTACCCAGGCCCAGAACTAGGGCTAAGTGTTGACCCACATCAATATCCACCCCAACCTGTGATCTGCTGGGGGTGAGGACTATCCTGTGGACCCAGAGCTATATAGGAGCTCCATAACACAAGGTAGTGTTAGAGGAAGCCACCTGTTGGTTCCCAGCCACCCAGCTTTGTCTCCATCATATATTGCTTACTTTGGAAGCTGCTTGATTGTACTTCCTGCCTGTGCAAGTAATATTATCTCCCTCCCTTCTCTGGCCTTCGATGGGGTTGAAGATTAGATAGTCATAGTTACTGTCCTCTTACGATGTAGCCAAGCCATTTCCTATACAAGACTTAGACTCCTTAGGTTAAAATGCTTACTAAAACATTTAGCATATGTTCCTTGATTAATATTTTTTATGCCTTCCAGGCTAATATGTTTTGATATACCACAACCTCTTGAAAGGTCATGGTGAATATCTCCCCAAAATTACTTCACCCACCTGATGACTGAAATGAACATAGCACACAGGATATACCATGAAAGACCTGATTAACAGCACCCTCAAACAGCAGGAAGCAGTTTGGAGATACTACACCCATATTTCCAAATATTGTTTATAAATG